TATAATATATATGCATGTATGTATTGTATGTGTATATATGTATTGTGTATGTATGTATGTGTATGTATGTATATGTATGTAATGTGTATGTATATGTAATGTATGTGTATGTATATATGTATGTGCATGTATATATGTATGTGCTGTATATATGTAATGTTATGTATATATATATATATATATATATATATATATATATATATATATATATATATATATATATAGTGTGTGTGTGTAACCATGTATGCATGAATTGTGTGTGTGTTGTGTGTGTGTGTGTGTGTGTGTGTGTGTGTGTGTGTGTGTGTGTGTGTGTTGTTGTAAGGAACTTTAACCAAGTTATGCGTGGGGATGAGCGCGAGGGCGAAGGACAGGAAGGCGGGTATATGTCGGGGGCGGACTCGAAAATGGGTATGCTTTTTCGTGGGCGTTACTGAGTGACAAAGTACCAAATGTTGGCCACTGGAAAGTCAGCAGTGCTAGAGAAGTGGGGGCGAGGGGGTGGGAGGGAGGAGGTCAAGCCATGAAGATCCCCCCTCTCCCTCCTCACCCCGCACCTCGACCCCCACGTCCTTCGCTTCTGTAACGTTACTTTTTTCAAAATCTTTCAAGGACCAGAATCTCCCGAGGAAAGTCTGTACAAACTTTTTTCTTACTCAAAATAATCTTTAGAAATACTACTCTACTATTTGATTATTCTACGACAGATTGTACGGGAAAGAAACAAGAAGTTTGGTACATCTAATTCTTAAAAAAAGAATATGATATATATATATATTGCAAAATCTAATAACAACAACAACAACAATAATAATAACAATAATTTACGAACAATATATTACAAACATCAATCTGAATATGATATTTGGAAACAGTATATATCATTCTGATAAGATGCAAGAGCAAATCAAACATACGAAAAACAAACAAATTAAAAAAAAAAACATTTAGCAACTTTTTTTTTTTTACTTTCCAAGGGAGAGCAATATCAAACTAAATATAAGTAAATATGCAAAGTAGGAGACACGAAATAAAATCAACAACACCAATGCTGACATTACTTAATCAATGTATATAAAAAAAGAAACGGGCAACATAAAATAAAAATAAAAATAATGGTGCAAATTTGTAGTGAATAAAAATCATAAAAAACAGTAATAATAATAATGTGCCGAGTGTAGGACGTGATAAGAGCGGACTGTAAAACCACGCTCTCTTTTCTCTGTCTATGAGCTTGTGTGGGGGGAGGGGGTCGTGGAGGGATGGGAGGGGGGACTGGGGGAAGGGGAGAGGAGGGGTGAGGGAAGAAGAGATTGGATAAAAGAGAAGAGAGGAGAGGGATGGGGAGTGTTTGTTGTGTAGAGATACATGCATCTTTTTCTGTCATCGCGAGTTCGTGAGGGTGTTGTGTGAGTGAGTGGGTGGGCGGCCGTGAAGCAAAAAGTGGGTAGAGGGTGGGTGATACGGAGTGCCAGAGTTAGAAAAAAGGAAAAGGTTAAATATAATTTTCTTGTATTTTGGTGCAGGGAGGGAGAGAGGGTGCGAGCGAGTCGCGAGTCTGTTCAATCGGTGTTGTTCCTGTAATCCTTTCTAGACCCAACTCAAAAACCAACTAATCTCGCATGAAAAGCTGAAAATGGAAATCAATGACAGTGTGTCTTCCCTCTGACTAACCAACCTGCCCTAAGCATGCCATTCATGGAAAGCGAGGCAGAAAAGTATAAATATCATTTCCCTTGTCCGAGCCTATCACTCATCCTGGAGACTTGTGTGGGTATTGAGCATTTTTTTTTTTACTCTCCGAACTTTTCTTCAAATAAGGAGAAAAAAATATGGAATTAGTATGAACTGTCTTCGTTTCGTGTGCCTAATGTGTTTGATCGTTCTGAAAGGGGATGGGTGGTCAGGATGAAGGGGGGGATGAAAACGTGTCTTGTTTGAGATTGCGGTTTGGTTTTCCCCAGCGTGCTTTTCCTCATCGATGACCTAAGCCCTCAACTATATTTCTGACAATGTAAACTTTACCCAATGTGTCATTATTCACACCTAAGCCTTTACCATTATTTCCCCCCTGAATATGAGTGTGCGTGTGCGTGCGCTCTGATGTCGTGTTTGTGGGAAGACCGATGATGAAGTAAGGTAAGGAAAGAGATAGAGTGATGATGGGGGGAGACAAGGAGTAGACGAAGAAAGGGGAGCTGTGGCGAGAAGAGATGCCGGGTAACAAGCGAGGGACAAGAAAACGAGGGGAAAAGGACACGAGAGAGGGGTTGAGGGAGGAAGGGGGGACCCTGGAGGAGGAAAGAGGGATTTTTTGGGAGGGCATTTTTTTTTCTTCTTTTTCTTAAGGGATTGGGGGTGGGGCGGGGAGAAAAGAGTGTGTGTGGAAGGGCCGTCACCGGGCAACGCACTCACCTGGTAAGGGGGGAGAGCGGAATGTAGCGGAAGCGGCCGGCCGGGTGGTGGATGGGCCCCCCGTAGCGGCGGGTCAGGGGCGAGAGGTAGGCGGCCAGAGGGGGGACTGCCTTGTTGTTGTTGGAGGGGTTGTTGGCGAACTTGACGGTGATGGGCTCCGCGGCGCCGTCGGGGATCGTGCCGTTCAGCTTCTGGATGGCGCGCTCCGCCTCGATGCGCTGGTCGAACCGGATGAAGCCCACGCCCTTCGACAGGCCTGGGGGCGGGGCGCGGGCGGTCAGTCACACTCGAAACCACTAAACACTCGAGGCTTTCGCACTCGTGGCTCACGGAGATTGAACTCTAATGCCCTACAAGGCTCCCTGATGGAACCGCATACTGAGACGTACGCTTATTATAACTAACTATTCTATGCATCACACAAATAAAAATGAAGATCTTGATATAGATAAGAGTGACAGAACTTGAACTAGAATAAGACAAGAGGAAAATGAAGAAAAGCTAAACGAAGAAAGGCTGATAATCCTATTTAAAAGGTGGAGGTTGGTAACTGAGGCAATCCAAACAGAGAAAGAGAGAAAGACGGAGCAAAGAGACGGCAGAGAGAAAGAGAGAATAAAGGAGATAGCGAAAGAGGGACGGAGAGGAGCGGAGTAATTACAGTAAAAGGGCAAAGCGAAGAGGGGAGAATAATTAAAAGGAGGAGGGGAACAACGTAATTAAACCATAGAGAGAGGAAAAAATACGCCGACGGGAGATAATGGAAAGAGAAGGAATGAAGCTTTCGAAGAGGAGTGGAGTGGAATATAAAGAGAAAAAAAGAAAACCCAAGAATTACGAAGAAAACATAAGTAGGAGAGAGAGAGAGAGAGAGAGAGAGAGAATGTGTGTGTGTGTGTGTGTGTGTGTGTGTGTAGCAGCAGCAGCAGCAGCATAAACAAATGAAATCAAGAGATATAAAGGAACCAAAAGAAACGAAAATGGAAAACGGGAAAAAACCCGCTCCAGCCTCCTCCTCCTCCTCCTCCTCCTCCTCCTCCTCCTCCTCCCTCTGCACCATTTATTGAACACTGTTCTCTGCTCCTTCATTCGGCAGCCAACGATAAATATTTCAGTCGAAAAGCCATTACGGGAAGTGTGATCCCGTGTTGGAGGAATATTTACCGGAGGACCCGAATTGGCTCGCAGAGAAGGGGAACACTTTCATGGCGCGTACTGCTAAAGACAGGCGAAGGGGGAGGAGGAGAGTAAGAGTTAGAGTAAGAGTAAGTGAAAACGTGAGAGAGAGAGAGAGAGAGAGAGAGAGAGAGATAGATAGATAGATAGATAGATAGAGAGAGAGAGAGAGAGAGAGAGAGAGATAGATAGATAGATAGATAGATAGAGAGAGAGAGAGAGAGAGAGAGAGAGATAGATAGATAGATAGATAGATAGATAGAGAGAGAGCAAGGAAGAGGACCAACAACAAGAGTCTTCGTAAAAAAGCAGGAATGAAAGGCCTACACCTAACTTATACATCGTAACAATAAATACAATAATAGTATTTCTACAAGTTGACAAAATGAAAACACAAAACAATAAAATCAGCATCAATAACAGGTAGTAGAAATAGTTGTAAAATATCAAAACCTAAAAAAATAATAATGACAACAATAACAATAACAATAATAATAATAATAATAATAATAATAATAATAACAACAACAATAATAACAATAATGGTAAACGATACTGATAATAATAATAAGTGGATATTCAAAACAAATAACGCAAGAGAGCGGTGGCAGGCTCCAGCGCCGCGGCCTCACCGGTGATGTTGTCGCACAGGATCCGCGAGGTGATGATGGAGCCGTAGGCCCTGAACATGCCCTCCAGGTCCTGCTGCGTCATGGACTTGGGCAACCCCGACACGTACAGGTTGGCGCCCTTGATGGCTTCGCTGCTCGGGCGGGCGTACGACACCTGCGGGCGGACGCGGAGGAAGGGACAGTTGTAGGAGTTGTTGGAGGTGGGGTGGGGGAGAGGGGAGGGGGGAGAGGGAGAAAAGGGGTTTGGGGTGAGGGTGAGGGAAAGGTGAAGGGGGGGGACGTGGTACAGAAGGGACAAGGGCAAGGGGAGGTGGAATTGGGAAGGGTTGGTGGAGGAGCATTGGAGGTGGCGTTGAAGGAAGGGTGGAGAGGGAAGCGGACCACGAGGAACACGGGGAGGAGAGAGGCACCGCCAAGAGGGCCACGAAGGGAAGGGGGGGGGGGGACGAAGGGCGAGGGGGGAGAGGGAGGAAGGTGCACGGGTTAGTCTTAATCTTATATCCTACCAGGATCATTGTCTTTTCCTACTTATCTCATACAAGGATGCCAATATAAGGGTCGCTTCCTCAGCTAAGAGTCAAGTAAACTACCATGAAAATTTACGTTAATCAAAGGTAATGAATTGCATATATTTGTGCTGCTAACTCATATCATGACTTTTTTTTATAACAACAAAACTTCAAAATGCAACTGACAAAATCCCCCTTACTTTACCACTAACAACAATACTTAGAAACAAAAGCTCCGAAAATCCTCTTGAACAGGAGCGCCCATGCCCTATAAAAGGACCACCCTACTAACAATCATTTCTATAACATATATACGACCTATAAAAAAAAAAAAGCGAGAAGGAAAAAAAACGTCGTTCTAACCTTTATAGTTTTGTTCTGAAGACGTAGGCCGTTAAGCTGGTTGATGGCTCTCTCGGCGTCATCCTGCCGGACGTAATTTACAAATCCGTAGCCAAGACTCTGTCCTGCAGGGGAGGGAGAGAGGAAAGGGACGTTAACAAAAGGGGAAGCTTTGTTCTACTTTCGCGTCATGTCTCGCACGCTCGCACTCACACCTGCACTCTTTTTCTTTTATTTACTCTCTCTCTCTCTCTCTCTCTCTCTCTCAGACAGACAGACAGACAGACACACACACACAAGAACACAACCACGCACTAAAAACACAAATACAAAAAAACTCTCACACATACACACATAAACAACACAGAAGGCAAAAAATAACACTCATTTTGATCTATACTTAGATAAGACATCAAAAAAAGAATCCCCGACGCGCAATTGAAATAGCTCGACGCAAGACCCCGAGACGAATCGCAGACGACAGGGAGACGAGGTAGCGAGCGATTCAGGAGGAGGAGGAGGAGGAGGAGGAGGAGGAG